TTAACTTGACCGTCTTTCGGACTGGGGCTGGTTTTTAGTGGATCATAACAAATATTCCTTCATGGTAGCTCATTGATGGACAGCGTCCTTTTATAATGTCTCCTTCGTGTGTTATTAGGAACCATTAATTTTGTAGCAAGTGTTGTTCGGTGTTTAATACAGGGCAGGCCACTGTGTCCAACTCCACTTGTCCAAACTTCCTCTTTGCACGTGAAAGGAGTGGTATGGAAGAAATGTAAGCGCACGAGGTTAATAGGGTACGGGCACTTGTCACTTATTATGGTAAAGTTGCCAATTTCGCGAATTAGTCTTGATCCTGATGTCTCTCCACTGGATCTTTTATATACGATGCGTCAAGATTTTAATTCAGTTTCCAATTTCTTTCGCACATGTAGTTTAAGAATAAGCGTACCAGCTCCAATATTCCGACCCTAAGACAGTCTCCACCAGCAGTTCTTCGCAACACTGAGATAACACAAGCCGGTGTGCAGTCTTATCTACCTAGTAGTTTTGTCTTTTTTTAAAGCAAGACACACTGCGCACAAAACCCAGGCCCTCATATGTAGCAGTTCGTACCGGTAATATATGGGTTCAAGCATTTATTTCACCAATGTTCTGTATTAGGTCACCGTGAGGTGTTGTGTGTTCGTCATCTGGCGCTCACGCGCGGTCGCGTTTTACAACTGAAGTTTACAATGTTTCTTTGGAATTAGTAATTAGATTTAGTCAAGCTTCTGATACTGCTTTTCGGCTTTTTATTTATTTAAGCTGACAGTCATGTTTATGATAGAAAACAAGCCATCAACAGTATACTACGCCACTGTATTTTCGGTTCGAGTGTCATTTAGTGATCCCCATCGCAATCCTCGTAGTATATGTTAGCTACATATGCGTTAAGTATGCTTTAAGTTACATAAACTATATTTTCGCGTAATATTAGCCCTGCCCAATTTTAATCCGAGGTATGCAATAGTTTGCGACGTCGATTTAGCTGGCGTGTAGTGAATACAACTTTTCTAAGCTTTTTTGTCCCTCAATACATCGGACCAACCTCGTATGTACATATCATTGTTCTTTCTGTGGTTGATTTTAATGGTATTACAGGGCGGCTCCTACGTGCAAATATTTGTGATTATTTGAACGTAAGAATCGTCACGGCCTTTCAACTTCCACGGGTCCACTGTGCTATTACCAGAGTTCCACCTTTCATAATATAATTGCAAATGATGTGGATTAGTGCTATTTTATTGATCTGTTTTGAGACGGCGGCGAACGGCACTGGATTTTATGCAGGCTATTTTTCTTACCAATTACGTCTTCTTTTTCGTACGCTATAATGTAACCAATGCGACCTGTAATTATTTTTAGGTGAAGTTTGGGCTGGCGTCGACATACAGAATGAAGATATTGCTAACAACTTTGAGAAGTTCGTTTGGGAACCCGCCCTTGTGAAGGGAAATGCAATTGTCGCGGCGACAGAGGCTGCTTGCTTGATTTTAAGTGTTGATGAGACAATTAAGAATCCTGAGTCTAAAAACCCCAGCGACGAGGAGCCTGTGCCACGGAGAATGCCCCAGCAATGTATGTGATGGTACATATTTCTTGTTGCCATTGACAGTATCTGTCAAAGTGCATTTTTGACCTTTCCTGGTTTCTTATGAAAAAAAAATTTAATCCAGCATTTTTGCATTTCTTCCCTCCAGTCACTATAGGGGTTAGTGCAGGGCAGACTCGTGTATCCTAGTAGGAATAGATGCTTGGACACCATCGACCGCCTTGATAATAATCATTATTTTTTAATTCAGACCACGTTGACCCGGCTGCTGGCTGTTCGGTCAATACGTGGGCGGCAGTTAGTACAAGAATGGCAGGATTGAGGTCCCCCACACCGAATACCGTGTAAAGCGAACGTTGATGAGGGCGACCTTTAGCCGTCATTAAAAAAGTTTACTTGTCACTAATTCTTTTAACTGAATCGCAAGAGAAGACAACTTTGGAGGAGCAATCTGAAAGATTTTTAGCACGTCTGTGCACAATTTCCAGGGATTGCATCGCCGACTAGAACTCCCACGGATACCGAAACGCATTTCAACTGTGGTTAAATTGTACCTTTCGAACAATATGCTTGGTGGGATAAAATAGGAGCAGGTTGTTGTATTGGATGTTGGAATTAGTGAATATTCTCGAACACTCCACAGTCTGTTGACACATCGTGCTTATCAGTTTATTGTAGGTACCAGTCGTATGTCCGAATTTCCAACTGAGTGTCGAGTCGCGGAAGGTGGAGTTGCATTCCACTTACTATTACGTAGAGTCGCACGACTTTCGCTACACTCGGTTTTGCAAACACTCAAAGAGCGAAACCTATGCTGCTTGTGTGGGAACTGGTAGACACCGAGCTGGATTAGAAATTGCCGAAAGGCAACTTGCCATCTCTGTAATTTCCGTCTAAAAGCAAACAGCAGCTGCAAAGCCGCATCATAGAGACTTAGGTCGGATGTCGTATCTAATGAGGTCCAACTCGTGCTTCACAGCACCCTGAAAGTAAGGACGATGACTTGCGCATGAATTAAATTATTGTTGAAGTAATTTTGCGATGCATCTACTGCACTTAATCCTACCTGGGACCGATGTCATTACCTAATGAGGAAGAAATCAAAGGTGGCTGGCGCTACCCCAGGCGTGCCGCCACAAATGGCTCGGGTCCCACGGAGTGGGAGTGCCGTAGTAAGAGTGAACCATTGCAGATTTAGCCACTGTGTTGTCCGAGTTATTACGTCCGTTTGCAGGCGTCCAAGCCAAGACTTCTGGCAAACCGTGATAGTTTAAAGCGCGTCAGCTTATAGCGAAGAAAATGCGCTGAACCATTCAGCTCCTGTAATTATCCCAAGTCACCGTCTGAGGCGGTCAGCGAACTGGTGCGGGAAGTGGGCGTAGTTGCTGGCATGTCT